GTGATATATTGTATCTACACTTTATAAAGATCTACAGCGAAGAACGATGGACTGTTCTACGACGATAAAATAAAATTATGACTACAAAGTCTGACGAATTCGTAGATTGAAGTCAAAAGCGTGATAAAATATATCTAGACAAAGTGCTTCTATAAAATTAAAAAAATAGATATTCTCATAAAAACTAATAGCTCAAAAAATAGTAAAAATGTCTGATGAAAGACATTCGCAAATTCGGACGCAAGACATTGCGTGCAAAATAGCAAACAATGCTTCTCTGTGACACGAGAAGCGACACCCATCTAACTCCTTTACATGCCCCATTTCGAGTAGTGTATATCGTCTATTGTGTTACCTCGTGTACACCCTGACTTTTGGATCGCGTCGAATCGCTCTGTGTGGTCTACACGCGCGCGACCCACGAGTTAAAGTTTTACGAGTTTACTTCGCGATAAACGCGGGGTGAGACGTGTCTTACTTCGCGCCGGAATAAAATAAGCTATGGTATAGTCTTTCTCTCTCTCTGGGATATACATTCATATAAATAGGTCGCCGCGAATAGATAGGCGCAGTCGAGCGGGACGCGAGTTCGAGCACAAAATAGCGATAGATCTCGGCACGTCGCGGGACGCCGAGTATAAAGACTAATGGTGCAGTCATAAATGTCCGCGTTGCTACGGTCCACGACGAGTAAAGTAACGTCGCGCATTTCTTAGATAAACGAATAGAAATGGATGGATAGATACGTGTATTCTGCTACTCGAACCCGAGATCCGAGCGCGATAGAGGCCACGGATGCTAGCGAAATAACGGATGAGCTTAAGCTCGAGCCCGACGTGTCGTAAGATACGGAGAATATGGAGGTATAGTCGAGAATTCATAAACATCGACACGTGAGCCGGCAAACAGACGATATAGAGTAATGATTATGACGAGGCGATAGTGAAAATGAAGCCGCGATTAGATTGCTAGGACAAAGAATATAGTGATTGCTCTAATCGACGTTCTTTCATGGGTTAAGACGCGGTCAAGTTCTTGGAATTATGTAACGATGTCTTTTGCATGGATAAGAAATATAAAATGACATAATTTTGAAGTTATTGATCAATAGCAATGTATTCAGCTAAGAATCGTGAATCTTGAATGTAGTTTAGTAAAGATAAGAAACTAACTCCCTGTGAGTTCAATGTAAGATGTATCTAACAATTTATAAAATTCTGTTATTAATAATGTTTCATTTAAATTGTCAACGCTTAATTATATGAAATAAAACAAATTTTAACTTCATTTGTGTTGAAGAACAAAAAGAAGTAAAAGAATAAAGAGAAAACGAATCCATTCGCAACGAGTAACCATTAATCTCTTTCCCACAGACAAGGTATTATTCTTTTTAGTCTTCTCATTGTCTATTTCTATTATTCTTTTCTTAAGAAAGATGGGAAAAAGAGTACTGAAGAGTACTGAGACAGTTGTGTTCTATGACATGGATATATCAATCACAAATATAAATATACATAAATAACCATGAGTATATTTTTACTTTGTAATTTGCGAGCTTCATGTGACATACCCAGGAGAGCATGCTTTCCATTTGACATTAACATCTGAAACGCTGAGCGCAGTCTAACAAATTACCGCGTGTACACATAGTACATACATCTATCAGCTTAATTAGCTAGATATTTCTTATTCACCATGTAGGCGCTCTTCGATAATAACGACATCCCCTTTAGATATTTCGTTGATCCATTCATCATTGATGCGCGTGTACATAAATCCACAGATGCAGTTTCGATAACGTATAAATCTACGACTATCGTCGTCCGTAACGATTCATTTGATTTGCGAGAATCGCTAAATCTGTGTCTTCGATACGAGATATCGTTCAATCACTTTGGACTGATTCGTTATCACGAAAACAAATATATGAATCCCTTGGTTGTCTATCGATGTTGCTCAATACTCTATTTGACATGGCGTTAGATTGATGATACTTGAATAAATAAAGATACAGTATTTTCTTCTCTTTTTTTTTAATAGATCTAAAATCCATCGTTGCTAAGCGACTTTGCCTTTATATCTAATCCTATAAATCAGACCTGTCCAATTTCAGCTTCGGAGCAAAAACGCAAAGCCATCGACGCAAAAAATCAATATAAGTAAGATTTCGAGGACTGTAAATGATACACGTCTGATCGATCACACTTATCAATACTTTACAGTTCCTGAAATCTTACATTGAATTTTTTTGATTCCGGAGCTCAAATTGAACAGGCCTGCTCTAATGCCCAATTTCTTCACCTCTAGATAACTTTATTTAAGAGATATCTCTCAGAATACAATGGAGATATCTCCTGAATAAGGTTATCCGTAACTTATCTGGAAGTGAAGAAATTGGGCATAAGTCGTCGCGATCGAGCGAGTACAACGTTATGTGAGATAAGACGTAAGGTCAATCTGTCAGAATCACACGGACTCAACTGTGACATTTATGAATATCGATGAATGACGTACAACATCGAGAGTTCGCCATAGAGTATTCTCCCGCGTCACAGGCGGATCTCACGATGCCAAAATGAATAAATCATCTCGCAGGAGATGCGGCGCGGTACGCGCATCTGCATTCCTCGGAAGCCTCACGTGCATTAAGGTCGTTCCGATCGCTGCCGGGGTGCGCACGTACAGATACCCCGCCTGCCACCTTTTTTTTCGTCGTCGCCGCAAGGCCTGAAACGAATTGGAACGCGATAATCGCGGCTGACCGTTGCGTTCTAAAATAAGCGTAAAAGGAGAGATCGGCCGAATTATCCGAGTCCGTTTTTACGCGATCATCGTCGCGGAACGGAATAGAATAGAATCCGCCTTTGAAATTTCAAGGCTAATTATTCTCTTTTTAACGAATAGTTTTATAGCAATTTATTGCGGTTTATTTTCAACATTGAATTGCTAGACTTTTTACTGTGATAAGTGAGATGGTCAGAAAATAATTTTATGAGGAAAGTATCTGCCTTTCTATTTGTATCATACAAATTATATTCCATCAAAATTAACCCTCGAACCTATGTACATTTATTTTCGGTACCTTTGGACGGCATACATGGATCATTCGTGTCCGACTCGATTTTAAGGCTCTTAAAGTGTTCGAAAAATTCTGTAAAAATTCACACATATTCTTTAAAGTCTGTACTAAATTATCCTGCTATGCAAATATTGGAAAAAAATGTTTAGAAAAATTATGGAAACTAATTTCTGCACCAGAAAAAGAAAATAATTTAGTTTTGATATAAAAATTGTAACTTCGATTTTTGAAGAAAAAAAGCAGTTTTTTATTTTATTAAAATACAAAAATGATTATTTTTAATGCATGGACACGAAAGACCCAGTGTGTGGTTCGAAGGTTAAAATATTTTATCAAAATAATATAAATAGATATAGTTTCTAATACAATAAATTATTGATATAAGATTTTATTCATTATCACTGTTTTGTTGTTTTTCACAACGCTTTTGTGCACAAAGAAAGCGTCATTCTACATGGCCGTACTATATTTGATCGAATACATGTTCGCCAGATAATCGTGACAGTTTTTTGTGAACGGACTGGAGGGAGTAACAAAGGTGGACGTTAATTGACAGGACAGAAGCGTCGTTGATCCGAGTGCTTCGGGTCGCATAATTAATTACCGTCCATTGAGAAGAGCGGTAGCACTGGCGAGATATAAAGCTTCTCTGAGGATCCCAGTCGGCATGTCCGGTTCGGTCGTGATTTTTGTCCGATCTCAAGGTGATCTGGTAATTATTCGACATAATGGTACTGCGTCGTAAGAAGCCGATTCTACGACTGGCGCACTAACTCGGCTAGCCTTTAAATAGTCGCCTTTAAATAGTCGCACGTTAATTGGATACGTGTTGAGCTATACTCTTCGTTCCGTTACAAAACGCTCGTGTTGTCATTTAATCTTAAGTTCTTTTGCTTAATATAAATACGCTGTTGAAAGAAGCAATTTTTAACTGTGATGAAAACGAAAAGAATTACAATTAAAAGAAAGAGCTTTCATTAAGAAAGCTTATCTTTTATTTACAAAATGTAATAATTTCGCAAAGAGAAGAAAAGAAAAATCGAAATTGTTAATTAACATTGAATGAATTCGCACGATGAAACAAACGTGATTATATTGTCTATTATACAAGCAGAAACTCTCGTACAACTTTCTCATATTGTTGCGTTTAGTATGTAATTTCCAATTTCACTTCTCTCCTATATTGTTGACTTAGTTTCTAGAATTAATAGAACTTTATTAACTCATCAAATCAGTTAAACGATACGCTGCAATTTGATCGCCACACGCGACCCGTGGATTTAATTGTCGCGATTTGCATTAACGAGAACTAGCAGGACAGTTGAAAATGATCTCGAAGATCCTTCCAGACCGACTAGATGAGCCGTTGGTGACTTAATTGGTGAACATTACAGAACACACGTGACTGCGATTAGTTATACCGTCGAGAATCGGCGAAGAAATCGTTGGTAGAATCTGTCGCAAATTACTCAGAAATGGCCCGATCGATCTTAATCGCGCCGTCAAATCACGCGGTTTATCTCTGTGCAATTAATTGCAGCATGCCCGCATCGCCCGCTTATTTGCAGGCATAGAAAATGTCCAAGGCCGTTTCGTTGGACATAACCTAACGACAGGAACATGCAAATGTCATGGAGATGAACGAAGATAGAGAGCCTTGCTCTCTCTCGCATCAATTTGTCATTTCCTTTTTTTCTCTCTTGTTGGCTATTTTTGTGAGCATTTCGCCCTTTTCCCAATATCCCTCCATTAGTCAAGCTTTCTCGACCCCAGTAATGTGTGCTACCCGAGATGCTCCGCGTCCCAATTAGAAGCCCTGATAATCGATTCCGGCTCCACTCCCACGTGACCTGTAAAAGAACGTGTCAGAATAAAAAATCGATGTTTCATGTTGCAGAAGCGGGAACTGCACGCGGCCAAGATGGAGCGGTGGACCGTGTACGCGATGACGTTGCAGATCCTCACCGCCATCGCTCGTGCTACCGAGGATTTTCGCCATATCTCGTACGAAGGTAAGAAGCTACTTGAAAACGACGAGGATATTTATATCGATATTCATTTTAATATATCAGCGTACCATGTTATTGCAGAAGATCTTGTGTTTACTATTTTTGTTATCTTTGAATTATACCTCCGTGAGAGTTTTGTAATCACACTCGCAGAGAGAAGAGTTCTTATCTCACTGATTTAACGGATCCAATTGGTAATCGCGTATATAAAATCTAGTAGCCGATCGCGGTGACGGCTCATCGAGTTTTCACGATTTATGCATGTTTCGCGGAAATCTCAATTGAATCTCAAATCACGCCCCGGATGCACGATAACCGCGAGCATCGATAATCTTTTTCCTCGTTAATTGTCTTATCGCTTAAGTTAATTCGGAGTAACCGCGAGTTGATTACGCGCGCATCCGATTACGCTCGCGCGTTGCCGATAAAAGGCGTACACGTGCGCGACGATCGTCCGGGCGAAGCGATTTGCCTTCAGAGTTTAATTCGCAATTGGCTCGTGAACAGGATCGGCAAGTTTCTAACCGCGATTATCTCGGAAAACGGGAGCACTCCTACGGACCGCGACATGAAATACACTTCATTCATCAAGGCGCGCATTATTGCGCCAGGTGCGTTATCGGTGCCATTAAAAATGTAGATCCGCGATCGATTGATCGTGCGTTCTCGCACGTAACCACGACGGTTTGAGACTTTCGATCGTGAATTGAGATTTTGCATTTTAGGCTTGGCGGAAGACAGCAATCCATTAAAGAATTCCCAATCACTCATCACGGATCTTCAGATTGATGGCGTCAGAAGAGAAAACACACAATAAATATTCTTACAAAAAATATATTTAAATAGAAATATTTTTCAATGAAATAATATTTGCATTTGATGGAGTACACTTGTGAAATATACAGAAAACTCTCTCATTTTATTTCAGAATAGAATAAAATTATATTTATTTCAATTCAACTGTCATATAGCTTGTTTTGTTTTCTGATTATACATAATTCAATTTCAAATGTATGATCATTTATTGATTATACCGGAACACAAGAGAAGTTTTCGGTATATTTTACATATATCTATTCTATCAACTGCAAATGTTGTTTTATCAAAAGTACTTACATTTTTAATATAATTTATAGAAAGTTTCTTTATGTATTTTTCTCACTTCTGACGTCAAGATGCAATGAATTAAGCAGCGTTAATAACACTCGAAATCTTTCAACCATTAATCACTCTATTTTCTAACAATGCTTTAACGAATTTGATAACTTTAATTGTTTTTTTTTTTTTTTATCATTCAGTTATTGATAGAAAAAGGAGTTCAATAATTCTCAATTATTATTTATTGTAACATTGCAATTTTCAGCATTGAGTTATTGTTGCACCATTAGTCGAGTTAAAGAAAATCGTTGAAAAGTAAACTAAAAAGCAACGTCGCTTTCTGTTTCGCATTCTTTCAGTTTAACCGAGTGAGAAAGTAATTTCCAATAATTTCGTAATTGTGCGTTCGATAAAGTTCGAAGACCGATTTATCAAAGTGTCATTAACGGGAAAGCGTTAAAGAGGAAGGATATTCTACGTATATCGATAATGATGGATCACGACGAAGCGATCGAGATTGCCGCGTGAAATCGTGCATAATCGTCAAAAGTAGGTGAATTTCCTCTAGGAGAGTAACTGCCCTCCAGCCGCACGATTTCCGTCCCGGAAGACTGACATAAATCCGTAGCGAGCGAGTCGAGCCGGGCTGTGACGTTTATGTAAATTTAATTTCTCCCATAACCGCTTCTCTATGACACGTCGACGTGTCGGGTAGGCATGGCTAATCGATAAAGGAGAATATATCCCCGCGCGGTGTGTCGCGCGCGTGCACGGTGTCCAAGATCGAGCCCATTAACATCTCGCAAAAATGTCGGACATTCAGGGCACTTATCGCAAGCAATGACCCACAATGTACAGTTACCACGTAGGCGAGCTCGCGGCTCGATTATCGCATACTCGCGGCCCCGCAGAGAGAAAACGCAGATCGTGTTGAAGATGTGGGACGTATAGGTCGCCTATATGGATGGAGAACAGACGCCACGCCCGTCAAGCGGAAACCGCACGGAAAACCTCGTACCCGGCCATGGATTTAAATCTTAACAAGCTTAATGGCTCGTCCCTAGCTCCCGTCGGCGTCGGCGTCGGCGATGCGGTAGCCCATCTTTTTCTCCATTCGTCTCTCCGCCTTTCTTTTTTTCTTTCACCTAATAACACTCGGGTCTCGGACGGCAAAGAAGGAAGACGAGGATAGAGGTACCTATAAGCTCGGCGCGCACAACCCATGATTTCCATTTGCACGTAAAATACTTTGCTCGACGATGGCTTCGATGCCCGGCGGCCACGGACGATGCGACAGTCTCTCGCAATAATCGTGAGGCCTGTATTAAGGTGGATCACGATTTCGTTACGGTTTCCCGCGCTTCTCGTGGTCGCCGTCACGTTTCGAGCCGCGCGCGGAATGCGGAATATGGTTGTAATTAAAAAGTACTTCGTTTATCTCCTCTCCCGAGTCGGTTCAATCTAAAATGCAATCATTGGTGATTAAAATTTGCATATATATATCATACAAAGTAATATAGAAACAAGATTAACATTATTGATTTTTCTTCAAATTCTTCTTGCTTGATAAACTATAGAGAGTGCTCTGTATATTTTATATATGTAAGTTAATTTGTTTTATCATATATTGATTAAAATAGCGTAAATCATCCATGAAAATTGTATCGGCGTGAAATTGAAGGTCGCATGTTTTTTTTTTCTTTATTGGAAAATAAATCTATCATCGTATTTAGTTCGTTCAGGCCAGTTCAGGCAAACGGACGGCATTGACGATAGCCTCGGAATGTCGTTATGATAATTTGTGATCCTGCGGCAAACCATTCCACTTCTCGCAGAGAGAGAGAGAGAACAATCGCCGACAAAACAACGGCACGTATGTGCTGATAATACGCGTAATGTATGAGATATTTCTCTTTCCGTGAATTTCCGATTACTTTCCATGCAATCTGCGTTTCTGGGGAATTTAAATCTCGCTAATAACGGCAGCATCGGTATCAATATTTATTGCTATTTGCGAACGCAGTATTTGTTGCGGCTATTGACTAACAAAATGAAATTGAAAAGCCGTCTTTCAGTACAAATTATCACTCAATTTAATTCAATGTTTATTGATCAGTCATGCAAAATATGTCTTTCTTTGTACAATAAATGCAAAAACTACAGGAACGTGTTGAAGCTTTAAAGTAGCACATTTTAGAAAAAAAATAAACGTACAGAGTGCAATGCTTTTAGAGAATGTAACTCAATCTATACGCGGGTACAGAATATCATTTATTCTCCGCTATATCTCTTTGTCTCTCTGTTATGAAATTCAATTGCACTGACTCATGCACTTTTCAAAACAAATGATCCGATTGTTGAGAGTTCCCCGGGTGATTTTTTAAGTCTTGGACTATGATAAATTCTCCCACTCGTAATGAATAATAATCTACGGTCTCTCTTTTTCTTACCAACAGAGCTTTTCCTTTGTCATTGTGTGGGTATTGTTATGCCACTAGGCATTACAAATGATTACATTGTTAACGTTCACGAAAGTGACGAACGTTATTTATAACGGTATCGAATTGCTAATGCGCGCGGCGAACATCTCTCCACGCGTCGATATCAGATCTCTTACATAAGAACGGTTGGGCGAAAATTTGCAGGCAGAAGTTCACTCGTTAAAACACCTCACACGATTGGCGTCAGGAGGCAACGACACCAGGTGTACACTATCGTATGCCTAGGATGTCGTGTTCTTGTAACGGTATTATTTGCACTATCTGGATAGCGTACGACGATTACCTAAGTACGGTAGAATATGCATTGAGTAACTGAATACGCTTCGCTTTATAACTGACGAATATTAGCTCGAATATTAGACGAAAAAGCTCGGTAGCCGATTTATATTTACTACATTATTTTAATATTATAAATGTGTCATTATATATACTTTGAACAGAAGAATTTTATGTCTTCTTTTTATGATAAAAAGAACAATAAAATTTCGCAAAAAAAAATCAACTTTATCAGAATAAAATCTGTTATCTTGTCCCGTATTTTTTAGATATATATTTTGTAACAATATAAAAAGTCCGAGTTTTCCTCGAAAGACACGGAAGTAGAAAAAGGTTGTGCTATTCCTCATTGTCACTGCGTAATTACATTGCAAAATGACGAGAGTCTCTCATGGGGAGAGACTCTATTCGAATGTAATTAAATTCCGAATACACAAGAGGGGCACAGACTGCGCGTAGATTGTGAACGAGCTTGTTAAGTGCCCTATTGCACGTCGAAAATGACAAAGCAATTCTCTTCTAATTATCCCGATATAAGGCTTGTTGAGGGTATATTGTGGCCGTGCTGAAACGTTTGCTTTCGATTCGCTCCTGAGAACCGGCGGCGATTGTTTGCGGTATGTTTGATCGAGTCGATTCATGAGGAAACGGTCTTCAGCCGACCGTGGAAGTCCCCCGGGTATCGACCGCAATGTCTCGATTACGGAAAGCGATCCGCTTATAAGTTGTGATTACACAATCGTACCTTTTGCAACGCGTTTCGGTTTGCGCGAGAACGCATAAAAAATTTTACGAGAACGGACGCGCTCAATATGTAGCAAATGATTTTTTTTTAACGAGATAATACACTTTTTGCGAAGTTAACGACCGCTCGTTCGAGAAGGTAAGTTTCGGTCGATAGTCTTATGACGAGTGTCTCAATCGCCAGCAATACCCATATGCATAACGAAGTTTAGAGCCATATACAAGTAAAGAGAAAATAAATGACAACTAGAAAGCAGAATAGAAAAAGAATCTTCTTTAATATAGTAGACAGGCATAGCAGAAAGAGAAATGTTATATAAGGAGAATATAAATTAGCTATAGGAGGATAATACAAAACCGTGCATTATAATTCATGCATAAGAT